TAGACTACAGAGCAGCTTATTTTATTAGTAATAATAGTTGACAATTTAGCAATATGGTATATACTACTTACTAATTTGAGTAGTTAAAAATCCTTCACGTCGAACGATGGTACCCTCTAGTAAGATAAATAATAATATCGGCTTCATTCTGAAAATTATGTTTCCATAAAGTAGAGAACTTCCAGACCAATATTTTGCAAAATATTCACCTTCTATATAGAATCTTCAGATAAAATAAGTATCAACAGTATGTTGTATGACGCAATATCATTTCATTTGAAATATGATCCAGTCCTCCATGTTATTTTCCTTTCATTTCCTTTTTTGAAGTATGCAGCTGTTGACTGGAAGCCAATTAAAAGTGTGCATGAGCTCATGCTGTTGTTCCATATTTTTTTGATTTCTCATTCCTTTACGTTCCCAGTGGAACATAGGGCTTCAAGCTAGAGGCTTGAAGTTTCGGTAGGAGTGGTGTTTATTTTTACAGGATGGCGTTGTCTAGCCTCATGTCCAACCTCCCCTCTTTGCCAGCCTTGTTACTGGCCTAACGAGGTAAAGGAGTGCTTCGATGGCCGGGGATCGAAACCTGAACCGCATGCATGGGCAGTGAGCATTCTACTGCTGTGCCACCGACACACTATTCCACATTAGATAAGTTTATTTTAAATATCACACAGTGATGCAGTATTAACAACTGGATGACAAGGTTTCGAGTATTAATTATTGCTGCTCATAATCATATCAATTTTTGTCACACGGTTTTACAATTTGTCTTATGTTTATATATTTTCTTTCTATTTTGTCCCTTCAACTTCCCTTAATTGTTTGTCGGCAGTTTCCATATCAACGGTAAAGTGATTATTATTATTATTATAGGTGTTGCGTCACTTCTATTGCACGTATGTGTGTGTGGTGTTGAATCGATAAACAATGCTTCAGTGATTAACCTAACTCTGTCTCCACCTAACTAAATTAGTCCCACCCACGCTGTTTTGTGATTACATGTAAGTGAATGCAATGCAATGCAATGACTGAGCTCTGTTTTTTCGAGGTTGTTAAACAACTTAACAAGGTCAATCACCGCTTTAGGTCTAGCTAAATTTTATGTTCTAATAATCTAGTTGACCATGATCTACTTACTAGTATGACATTTGCTTTAATTGACCTCAAAGTCATTACATGATATTTTGTAAATTATATTATTTTTCTTAATTGGGTACGTGCTGATGAACAGTCCTAAACTAGGGTGAAACAGCTGTCTAGTACTCTCAGGTTTTCCAATGGTTCTCTAACTGATGTCAGCTCATGGTGAAATTCCTCAACCAATCAAACAAAATTCCTACAAAACCAATACTTGAAAATTAATTGAGTCTATTGGGTCCTTAAGCCGACAAAGATTATCTTTGAAAGAGTTGGTTGGTTGGTTTAAATGCGCCACCCTAATTACAGCTTCATTGAGAATCCCACGTAAGGCTTCTGATGTTCCTTCTTTATACAGTAGTACTACAGAGGCTTTGAATTCTATATTATTTTCGTTAGTTTCGTCACTTTTATTACTAATCTTAGTTTTTCTATGGGTCTTCATATGTTTCTGAATAAATTCTGGTGGGTAGTTATTCACTAATAATACTTCCTTGATTTTTTAAATTTCATCATTTGGTTCTTCTGGCTTACTAGTTAGGCTCTCGGCCCGATTATACAGACATTTAACTAAATCTGTCTTTACCGATTCTATAGGGGATGAATTAATATCCAAGTATTTATCAGAGTGTGTTGGTTTTCCTATAAATCCTAGTGTCTGCCAGAAATCTAAAAGAAGCAACCTCTTTTAGCTACCTACCTACCTGGGAAGCATCGTTTCAGCTACAGGCGAACAGAACTGATGAGAATATCAAAGCAAGGATCGGGAAAGCAAGTCAAGCTTTCATTACTCTCAAGTCTGTGTGGAGGTCAATATCAATACTCAGCATGAAGAATAAGATCCGGATTTTCAACTCCAATGTGAAGTCAGTGCTACTCACTACACGGATCAGAGACTTGGCCAGCGCGTTATGAAGAGCACCTCAAACAAACTTCGGACCTTCATCAACATCTGTCTTCGCTGAATGCTAGTCAAGATTAGATGGCCGGCGAGAAAAGATCAGCAACAGAGATCTCTAGGAGCAAACCGACCCAGCAGGAACCAATCGTGCAACAAATCTGCTGGAAGAAATGGATGTGGATTGGCCATACTCTGATAAAACCATCAAGTGAGTGACATCACACGCCAGTTCGTCGGTCGAGTGGTAACCGAATGAGGCGGCAAGTTGGTCGTCAGTGCGAGTGTGATATGGAGGAGGTTATGAGAAGAGGAGATGAAAGCATATAGGCAGACTTGGAGCCAAGTGAAAACATTAGTGGAGAACCAAACGCAGTGGAAACGTGTGACTCAAGTCCTGTGTTCCTCTAGGAACTAAAGGAAACAATAATAACTATAGTGTGTAACCGCCCGCCATCTTGTTTTCGTTTTATTCTGTAGTCCAGCATGGCTAACTCATCCAGTTGTTAATAATGCATCGCTGTGAGATGCTTAAAATAAACCTATCTAATATGGAATTACATCCTACCGCAGTGTCGTAGTTCTACACTTAAACTTGGCAACCCATTCTTACCCCGTAAAAATAAGCACCACTGTGGTGAGATCTGTCTGCTAGCCAAAATTGGTAGACAACAATTTACGTCAATGTTTACGTCCCAAATCTTGGTCACGAGAAAAAAACAAAAACAAAGGCTTACTCAACAGCCAATCACAGCAGACTTAGAGTGGGTGTATGCGATTAGCAGATTTGTCACTTGACTGTCTAAGAAACGGCAACAATGAGATGACAGAATGACCTTCAGAGGGAAAACAACAAATCAGAAGACGTTACCTCTCTCTTAACAATAACGAATAATAATGCACATAAAAATCCATAAATATCTCTTGATTTCCTCAATAAATGATTTGTTGTCTCGCCCTTGTCTTCTTTCTTTACACCATTACTACCGAAACTTTAGGCCTTTATCTTGAACCCCTATGTTCCACTGGGAACACAAAGGAATAAATAAAAATTTGCAAATAATAATTTTAATTTAATAATTAAATATGAACACCATAAAGAAATGGTTATGACGGTTTTCCTAAGGATTTGGTTTGTCTTTATATCGAATCACCAGCATTTGGAGAATAGTTGAAATCCAGGAAGTTTAAAACTTGTCTGAGACTCCTCACCAGCAGTTTACCACGGCCTCAAAAGGAATCGGACCTAAAACCTTCAGCTTACAAGGTGAACTCGTTGGCTATTCAGCCTACTAGGCTAGAATTTAATGACCCATGAATTCTAGCTTTGTTAGTTTGCAATCTAAACGTCCTGGGTTAAATTCTAGTCAGATCTTAGATGTGCAATGATAAAGAGTCCCCCAAAAAACTGCGACGAAACAGCTGTCCAGTATTCTCTGGTGCTTAGTAATTCTCTACCTACATTAAATGTCATTTTAAAACATGCAACTTGTAAGGTATATTCTTTGGAAACCAAAAATCAAAGCAGCCAAAACGTAGAAATTAACACAAAATTTTTTTTGTCTCAATTTTCTTTTATCGCATATTAGGAATAGTAGTAAATTCACATTAATTTAGGTTATTTACTAACTAAAACCAACCATCTAACAATGAGAATCCTCAAATTCATGATAAATTCATTTCAAAACCAGCAGATGTATTACTGTGGGTTACTTCGTGGCACCTATCGACTGTTCATTGTATTTTGTAAACTACTCTACAATGAGTCAGTCAACTAGACATCTCTCGGTTAAAGTTTTATATATGTCCTCTAATTTTGCTTAATCTTTGTTTATAACCGTAAAGTTCAAGTATATTTTGCTGTTATCGCGCACCCATAGAGCTTGTTGTAATTCTCACTCTTTATGATGTTTAAACTGTCATTAGTTGCCAACCGTCTTAACTCACTAATGAATTTAGTGTTTGCCAACGTTACCTTCAGTCTATACATATTTAGCATTGCTGTCAAGTTTTCCTACAGTTATCTCTTTCAAGTTAGTTTTTTTATCCAATATGAACTGTAATCAAGATTTTATAGAATAGTTCTAAAATAATCGGGTGCTAAGTGAAAAGTAGACATATGTAAAAATTATAATTTGTAAAATCTCAACGAAATTGAAATGAGTAATTTCAACGTTTCTTGCGACAAACTGGTGTGAACTGTTGATTAGTTGTTGAATTAGTCTTTGTTCTTGTTTTTTTCTCATGACCAAGATATGGGACTTAAATATTGACGTAAATTTTTGTCTACTCATACCTGAGTCATTAAATGCTTTAGTTAGAGCTGTTACACTTTAGTCAGTTGGGATAACATTTTACAACGTGTAGGAATGTACTGGTTTTTTCACTGGTCGCTGGGGGATAATACATTAAATGCTTCACTAGGAATCGAATGGAATGGCATAATTAATACTACTACTACTACTATAATAATAATAAATACGTCTCCACTGTTAATGTGATATGGTGGTCAATATCTAACCTGAAAATAAACCAATCGGAATTTGGCCCGTGCAAGTGATCGATGTTCAGTCTGGAAATAAACCAATCAAAATTGGCCGACGTAAAATAAACGCCATTATTTTACTGGTCATAATTACAGACTAATTGACATATCCTTGGTGATATTTTGAATCAGATATTATTGCGTGAAACATTCTTTATGGCTCACATCTTTGTATGTTCTCGTCTGAGTGGTGCAGGCTGAGGAAACAAGCAGCTGTCGGGCAATGTTGTTGGCGTGGATAAGTGATATTAATGATTATCGCATCTCCTTACTTCAATTTCGAAGTATTGCAGAACATAACATAACCATAACCGTTATTCATATTTATTTATTTATTAGTTTTTAATTAAATTACTGATACTTTCTGAGTTGATTTATAATCAGAATAACTCTTCTTTGATCTACTACTACTTTTAGTGTATTGATGATGAGACAAGTAAATCAAGAGAATTTAACAAAATGGTCAAATATAACAAAGAATTCAATGAAATCTGATATAGATATAAATCAAATTTATTCTAATTCTACTTATACTCAATCAACATCATCGTCAACCTCCTCCTCATCATCATCGCTATCATCGATACTATCGTCACCAATAGTAACAACAATGACAACAGCGGCGACTATGACAATGGTAAATAATAATAACAAAATCAATAATTCATGTATTTCTTTATCTGAAAACAATCAGATTACTGAAAATAATCTTCACATTGATGACAACAAAAATTGCAATCAACAAATCAATTCACCAACTAATTCAATCAGTCCAATAAGAAATAAGTTTTTATTCCCTCCAATTTTAACAAATAGATTATTATCGGCGCCAATCAATAACAATAATAATCATTTAAAACAATTGAATTATACACATGATACTACTACTAATAATAGTGGTAGCAGTAGTATGAGTAATAGTAGTCATATGTTAATGTCTCGTGAAGAAGCCTTAGTTACCCTTTCAGAGAAGACATCTTATCCAATCTTACAAGAAAATGGTCAACGTCGTTATGGTCCACCACCGAATTGGAGTGGACCACAACCCCCAAGAGGTTGTGAAGTATTTATTGGTAAAATACCAAGAGATTGTTTTGAAGACGAATTAGTGCCTATATTTGAATTAGTTGGTAAAATATATATGTTTCGTTTAATGATGGATTTTAGCGGTTGTAATCGTGGTTATGGATTTTGTATATATACAAATCGTGAAGATACAAAACGTGCTGTTGCCGAATTAGATTGTTATGAAATACGTAAAGGGAAAATGTTAGGCGTATGCTTTAGTATTGATAATTGTCGTCTATTTGTTGGTGGTATCCCAAAATCAAAGACAAAAGAAGAAATTATGGTTGAAATGCTTAAAGTTACTGAAGGTGTTAAAGATGTTATTGTCTATCCAAGTGTTGCAGATAAAACAAAAAATCGTGGTTTTGCATTTGTTGAATACGAGAATCATAAAGCAGCAGCTATGGCTAGACGTAAATTAATTCCTGGTCGAATTCATTTATGGGGACATCAAATTGCTGTGGATTGGGCAGAACCAGAACGTGAAGTTGATGAAAATATTATGTCAAAAGTAAGTTTATTTTTCAGTTTAGTTTTTCACTTTTCCATACGATTCTTTTGTACAGTCATAACAGTTGTTGAGTACAGTTTTTCATTGGAATAAAACGAGCAACAAAATGTTAACAAAAGCAGGAATTTTCAAATATTCGTTTTGAAGGAATTTTGTTTGATTGGATGGAAGATTTCATCATGAGCTGACATTAGTTAGAGAACCACTGAAAAACCTGGGAGTACTGGACATCTGTTTTGTCCTAGCTTGGGACTCTTCATCAGTACGCACCCACCGCCAGGGTTCGAACCCACAACCTTCTGGTTACAAGGTGAGCTCGTATACCATTGAGCCACCGGGACCCGATCCAATGGCCAGTGCATGAATTATAACTTCCGCCAATTCTAGACATAGCTCGACCCCTAGCCAATGTCTTCGGCGAGTATTTGTCCTCACACCCGACCAGCTGCACCCTACTGGTCACGACTTCTCACTAGAACCACAGGTAACTACTTACTGAATAGGGCAAGTCTCTAGCGAGCATCTCATTGTTATCCAAGTGTTGGTTTGAAGGGATTCAATTGGCTTCAGGATTGAATCATGAGCTGACATTACTCAGAGAACCATTGGAAAACCATTGGATCGGGTCCGGTGGCTTAATGGTATACGAGATTGCCTTGTAACCAGAAGGTCCTTGGTTCGAACCCTGTCTGTGGGTGCGTGCTGCTGAAGAGTCCCAGACTGGGACGAAACAGCTGTCCAATACTCCCAGGTTTTCCAGTGGTTCTCTAACTAATGTCAGCTCATGATGAAATCCTGAAATCCTACTTTATTTACAATTGTTACTTTCTATAAACTACTAACAAACGCAAGTAGTATGACGTTTTACAAAAAAAATAAAATACACAGAAAATATTGATAAGTGCATTTTACGCGATTATCTTCATCAAAATAGTAGTAATAATGATAATGTGAAAGATAAAAATCGAAAAGACCAAATAAACTAGTAAGCACCTAAGTTTGATTTCATTTATCTGATGAAATACTTCAATTTGATAGGAAATGTATTTTTAAGTTATTTTAATATTAGAATTATTATTGTTCCCTTGCGTACTGAATAGAAAATATAGCTTCACAGTATATCTTCACTTTATCCCTTTTATCTGGCCCCATGGTTATCCAAGGTATCTCATTTCCTCCCGCGTGATCTCCTCCATGTCATCCTCGGACGAACCATCCAGCTCCTTGTATCCAACTCGAGTTTCCCTCGGGCTATGGCGTGGTGAGCCTCGACAGCCTCCTCAACGTATGTCCGGTCCATCTCCATTTACTCATACAAATGTGTTGTGCAGTTGGCTCTTGGTTGGCTATGTTTCCATCCAGAGTTTCTTGTTGCTAATTATTTCTGGTTGGTTAGTCATTTTATCTTCAGGATGAAGCCAGTGAAATGGGCAACTGTTGATAAAAGTTTGCAACTGCCTGTTTTTTGTAACTCGTCACGTTTCAGACTCACATTAGTGTTGAAAATCAAAATCTTGTTCTTTATGCTGCTGACTGACACCAGTAAACTTTTAAACTGATTTCAGAATGATGATGGTCTGTCTTGCCTTTCTGATTCTGGTAGGCTTTAACATCCTGATTTTTTTCCGATTTCCGGTTGTTCAAAGGATACTGCCTAACCAGATAAGTGAAGGAAGTGATCGCTTCAAATTTCCCCCTTCAGCAGGGATTGTTGCTTGTTGTAGTTAGTTGGTTATCTTCATCATCTTCAACTTCTCTGTGTTCACTTGTCTTTGCTGCTTCTTCAACTAGTTTGTTGGTTTTTGTCTGTAAGATTTCAAGTTTGCGTAACATTAGACATAATTGTCCACGAAATTCAGATCTATTATTAGTCTTCTCATCGGTTTAACTATTCTTATCTTGTTATTCCCCACAGTCTTCTAGGTAATTCACCAGTCCACCACAATCAGGAATATTGGTAGTAGTAGATAGGGGGTCTTCTCTTACTCTTGTATTCACTTCAAAGGCTTTGCTGAGATTTTCGCTGTGGACTACCTGACACATGGTATTGTCACATAGCTGTTGAATGAGGGTGATAAAGACTTGGGAATTGTACACCATAGTGTTGAAGCAGTTTACCAATTTTTTCAAGGTTGAAGAAGTTGAGATAGAAATTTCAGTGCCATTCAACGCTTTGTTCGATGACAATGCGTAGAGATGCGATTTAATCAGCACATGACTTGACTTTCCTGAATCCAGCATATTCTGGGCGAAGTTCTGAATTTAGTGCATCTTTTATTCCCTCTAGGATGACGCGAATTAATACTTTACTTGGCGTAGGCGAGATCGTTATTCCAAGCCAGTGCTAGCAGAGGCTTAAGTCGCCCTTCTTTGGTAGCTTGACTAGACAGTTTTTTTGTTCCAGTCAGCAGGCACCTTCCTTACCTTTCAAACCTTTGGCCCTAATAGTTTCAGCGTATCCACTGCAGTCTCTGGGTTCGTTTTCACTGCTTCAAGGGGAGTTCTATGTGTTCTCTCTGCTTTCCCGGCTTTCAAGTAGGTTGATTGCATTCAAGACTTCTGCCTTTTTTTTGAAAGACTGGTATTCACTAGCATCTCCGTGCTTGCTGTTACTTGTAATTCTGGAGAAGATCAAGGTGGTGGTTAGCCTATTGTTTTCTTTGTCTTGTTTTTAGGTTGTATTTATCGTATTCAACTGAAAATTTTGAAAACGATTCAGATTTCATCATGTGTGTTATTATTTCACTGATTTTTCGCGTTCAACGTCCACAATAGAGCTGCTTACAATTAGTAAACTAGTAAATTTTTCCTCATTTATGTGCATCTATCAGGTGAATTGATCTTGTGAAGCCAGTTACACTGGGCATACAATTAGATATATTCATCAACGGATTCCCAAACATCCTTCTTTATGGTTAAGAAAGGGACAACAACATCAACTTGCATCTCTATTTTAGCTCCTCTTGTATATACTGAAAATAAACAAAATCAATGTTAATAAGCCTTTTAAAACAATCCACTGTATTCCCACTTATCTCAATTTTGCCTCATGAATTTTTGTTTTATATACAGGCGAATTTGTTAGAATTTACCTGAAGAAGCCTAACTTATATGATTCATTGAAAAACTTTCCCTACCTTCACCATCATTGTTTTAACAATCTTCAATTGTCCCATTATTTTCTTTCTTAATTTTATCAGGTATTCAATTAATAAAATTATTTTTTAAATGCTCATTGTCCCTTACATATGTTTTTTGACCTTTAATTCTATTCATCTTAACAACTTAATATTATTTAAGAACATCATTGTTGGCTAATAACTATGCCTCCAAAGCCTCAGGATGGTCGGGGGTGGGTGCCTTGCGCTGCGGGTTGGCCACCCCTCCGCACACCTCTTGAAATGCTCCCATATGACCGGGCGTCTTACATAGCCTCTCCTGAGGGAGTCCTACTCACTGCCTTCACGTGGCGGAGGTGTTTCTCACCAAAGTGAGAGGGCGAAAGCGGATGCCCGGCGCTCTCCACCGGGTTGACTGTCCATTGGATGACGGTCTAGGGGAGATGGCTAAACCCTGATTCCAAACCTCCAACGACTGGCGTATGAAGCTCACTGGAGCTCACCGGCAGACGTATGGACAAAGGGCTTGTTGGATGTCCTGGATGTCTGGCCCCATTCAAAAAGGCGTATGAACCGAACTCCGGTCACCGGCTGCCAATGGATAGTGGACTCCTTACTCCACTCCTACTGCCTTGTAGGTCACACTTGGCTGTGTAAAGGCTAGAGCTGCACTCTCAAACAAAAGGCCGAGCAATGCTGGGGACATCACTCGTACAAAATTCCCATGAAACTTCATGAACTCTCTTACAAATTGCCGCGCCTGGGCAGCGATGATTCGAGACGTTCATGAAGCCGGCTCATCCTCCCGTAGGAGATAGCCGAAGTAAAGTAAAGTAAGTATGATTCTTAAATGGTTGGAGGATTTCATCAGGAGATTATATCAGTTAGAGAACAATTGGAAAACCAGACAAAGAAAGTATTAGACAACAGCTGTTTTTTTTCTAGATTGGGACTCTTCAGCATTACGCACCCACGGGCAGGGTTTGAACCGACGACCTTCTGGTTGCAAGGTTAGCTAACTCGTAGACTGTTAAGTCAATGGAACCCAATCCAATGGCCGAAACATGAATTCTAGCTTCTGCCATCTCATGATATAGCTTAACCACTTAACAATGTCTTCTCTGGTGAATTACTGCCTCACCTTCAACTTGCTGTACCCTACTGGTCATGGTTTCTCACTAGAACCCCAGGTCACTGCCTGAATAGGGCCAGTCGCTATTTGAGCATCACATTATTCTTAAATATTGTATAAATATTACGAAGAGCCAGGCGAGGAAGTTATCACAAAGGATATTCTTCGGTTAAACTTTCTTTTGTCTTTAAATGTTGTTAGTTTGTATTCAAATCTCTAACACTTAGTATAACTATAAACCGGTAGTATTTCGTTTATTCTTATTTATTATTCTTATTTATTATTTTTTTCTATAGGTTCGTATATTATATGTAAGAAATTTAATGTTACATACAACAGAAGATGCTGTTAAAGATCATTTCAATCAAGCGATTGGTGCAGTGGATGCTGTTGAACGAGTGAAAAAAATTCGTGACTACGCATTTGTACATTTTCGTGATCGTTTACAAGCGACAACAGCACTGCGTCAATTAGATGGTAAGCATTATTTATGCTAATATTAAAGTTTTCTTTTGAGTTTTCAAAAAGAGATATTTCACCCACAAAAGGCTTATATGGTATTTGCCTAACGGGAGTCATCTTTACCATAGACATGATTTCTTGTTGGCAGTTTACAAACGTGTGTACTGAGCTACGGTTCACCATGTTTACCTTTAGGACTATGGGATGTGATCGTCAAAAGCCAAAGATAAGAAGAGGCTAGCTATCTTTCACCAGAGGTATCTACGCTCTATCTTTTATGTTGAATGGTAAAATATATTGGGTATTATTGAGGTAAGGGAGAAATTGTCCGTTAAGGAGGGCAGGCAAGTCAGTTGATAATCTTGTGAAGCTGTATTGATTGAGATGAATAAAACATGGGTTATGCATTCAAAACTGTCGAGAATCTTATTTCCCGTGGTCAAACGGAAACATGAAATCAATCTATGAAGTCCTTGGTAGTTAGTTTGAGCCATCTTGGGAGGTGTAGACTGTTTGATTGGGGTCTTCGAGAAGTTAAGAACCAAAAGTTGAAAACTTTTGGTGGCATCAGTCAAGGACGAATTAATAACAATTAGTTTAGGAGTGAGAGGACAGATAAATTGTTTATGAACTCATGACTGTTACTTGAAATCGCTTATCATTAGAACTTCCATAACCTTTGAGATACGTGCTCGACACGTTTTATAGGTAGACTTAAAAACGTATAAGTATCAATTTTTCGCCTTGCAACTACAATATTTCATGCAGTAGACGAGGTTAGGCATGAATTCACACCATTATTAATTTCAAAGGACTCAGTAGGCTTTAAAATCCCTTTTCATATGGGACCATACTTGCATTTAAACTGATAAATACAGTTCAGATGAACTGTGATCAAGATTTGACCGAATAGCTGCAAAACAGTTTGGCACCGGACGTGATGTACTGAAAGAAGGAACCTCCCTTACCTATCTGGGAACCATCGTTTCAACTACAGGCGGACGGAACTGATGGGGATATCAAAGCAAGGATAGGGAAAGCAAGGTAAGCTTTCATTACCCTCAAGTATGTGTGGAGGTCAACAGCACTTATCATGAAAAAGAAGATCCGGATTTTCAACATCAATATGGAATCAGTGCTGCTTAAAATACGGATCAGAGACTTGGCGCGTCACGAAGACCACTTTGAACAAACTTCAGACTTTAATTGACAGCTGTCTTTGCTCAATGTTCAAGATCAAATGGCTGGTCAGAAAAGATCAACGACAGGTATCTCTTTAAATGAGCGAACCAGCCAGGAACCGATTTCGCAACGCATATGCAGGAATAAATGCAGATGGATTGGCCATACTCTGAGATAGCCATCAAGTGACATCACTAGACAAGCCCTCAAGTGGAACACGAAAAGAAAGTGGCGAGTTGATAGTCCAAGGGTGACTTGGAAGAGGTGATGTGAAAAAGAGAGGCGAGAATGTGGGCAGGCGTGGAGCCAAGTAAAAACGTTGGCGGAGAAGTGAACGCGGTGGAGACGTGCAGCTGTAGCCCTATGTTCCTCTAGGAACTAATGAAAATACGAATAATAGTAATAATAAGTACTTAAATAGGAAATGCAAACTGCATATTCTCATAGTGGAAAGAATTTATTTTGATAAAGTCCCACAGTGTTATAGAGTTATATTTACTAATGGCGTTTCGAGTAAAATTTATTGCGCATAATCATATCACGTTACTTACACACCTGTGTGAAAATAAAAAAATAACACACCTGTAACTAAACTACTTGCAATTAAAAAGTAGCTGAATGAGAAAAACAAAAACAAAGTGGTATCAAACATTTCAGGTTTTTGATTTCTTTTCTTATTTGAATATCGTGTAGAAATTATATCAATAAGAAGATAGCCTTCCTCCTTTTGAAGAAAATGGTTACTTTCATTTAGCGTTTAGGTATCTGTGATCAAATTATTAGCAGGTGTGATTAAAAGTAGCTACTTATTTAATTAGGAACTATCTTAACAATCTGGGAAGGAATACAAGTAAGAACTATGACAATTAACCATACATCAACGTATTGCTGAACAAATATGCAGGCAGAAAATTGAATTGAAATGAACATACATTGGTGAAACCTTCACACAACAGGTTCTTAAGATGAACTTGAATAAGAAGCGACGATTTTGGCGTCTTAGAGTGAGGAGGAGATGAAAGCTTGTAGGTAGTTTTAGAGTCAACTGAAAATGATGACGAAAGATAGAGTACAATAAAGATGTGATACTGAAGCCACATTTACCATTCAGAACACAAAAAACGAATAATAATCTAAGCAACTTAATACAATTTCTCATCATATCAGTAACAGGGCGTAGTCGTACTGCTGTCAGACAAGAGTTTAACAATTATAAGATGTTTCCTTTGAACGACTGGGAAGCCAGTTATTCTATCTTTCAGACTTAGGGAATGTGGGTCATCATAAAGCTTCACCTGTGAAAATTATACATTCATACTTAACTTGTGGTGAGAGTCCGTAGTTGACGAGAAGGTTTTCAAGTGGGAAAAAACTCCAGTTAGGTGGTGTATCAGAAACTTAAAGCAGTTACCCCATTCAGCTCTACGGTTACACAACACTAATGCTCTTTAAGGGTTCCATGTATCCTAAGAATAAATCAGCTTTCATTGTGATTAATCATCGTGCTGAAGATTCTGTAGCAATTGTGATTAATCAGGAAATAGCGAACAAAGCCTTCCTATTCAGTTCAGTTTGATTCGTTCTTTAAATTTCTGGACTATTGTGAACATATACAATCTGTGGAATTGCCGCGCTTTTTTTCTGAAATCATATCGATTAAGAATAGAAAGTTATCAATACTGCTAAACTACTCAGTTTGATATGATATCCTGGGTTTGAACCCTGCATTGTGGGTGCGTACTGCTGAAGAGTCCCAAACTAGAACGAATTAGCTGTCCAGCCCTCGCAGGTTTTCCAATGGTTCTCTAACCTACTGATATCAGCTCATGATGAAATCCTGTAACCAATCAAATCCCTACAAAGCAATACTTAAATCAACATTCATTTAACTGTATTTTAAGAAATCAAAATTATCATCGTTATTATTATTATTATGCTTACTGTTTAAAGAGAAAATATTTCAAAAAAACTAAAACAAAGGACGAGGAACACAAAAAAGAGCTAAATGATACATTCAAACACAGTTTACGGATAAATTGTGTCATTTACCAAAAAGTAACTTTACATAAAATTCAAATATTTAGGTTATCTTATTGAAGATTAACTAAGCTTTTTAAGAATTCAAAAAAGTGAAGAAAAAAGCAAAAAACTAAATCAATAAATAGTTAAATGGATTTAAATGAAATATCTAGTAATTCGTATACTTTTTTTTATTGAAACTATTGAATCATTATAACTGCTGTTTAAATTGTTGATATTTAAGTAGCTACATTTGAAATAGACATATTATACTACTGATTAAAGGCTAATCTATACTTCTGAAATGCAAAAAGGCATACTTAATAACCAACCTGAATTGAGTAAAGATCCTTGATAGGCGTTTTAAAAGACTGATTACAAGTGAATAAGGAGTATTTTTTCGATCAATTTCACTTCATCATTTTGTAAAGTTATGCGTATGCATAATAATCAAGGAATTATTGTTATTAACAATATTAATGAATCAGTGATATCAGTAAATTACAGCTCTGAAGCATCTGTGAGTGATATTATGCGTCAGTTTAACACGAAACTGAATATCAGATAAATTAAGGGAAATAATACAGAATTAATGAATTTCTAGGTTCCACAGTAGATCAGGTTAGCAATAGTGAATGGACCTGCACTAGCAGCTTTGGTTGTTTTAAGCGAATTACAATGACCTCTGCTGTTTGGAAAATTCACTATCTGAAAGTTTTGGTAATTTATCTTGTGGGAATGCAAACACAGAAGAATTGTTGATAACATTCAACAACGTCCACTCTTCGCTTACTTTTATTTGTGAAGAGGAGCAGGATAGTTGACTGCATTTTCTGTATGTCTTGCTAAGTAGGCGAGGAGATGGGTTACTTGGGAGAAGCATGGATAGAAAAGCACATTCACAAGGCAGCACACACACTTCTTTAGTTACGTACCCATTAAATATAAAAGGAACGTTGTTAAATGTCGTACAAGTAGAGCAAGAAAGATATGTACGGATGACCTCTTACAAAAGGAATTCGAATATATTCACGATTTCTTGACGGAGATGGGCTATCTGAGTAGTTTCATAAAGCAACATATGAAAACATCACAGAGAAAACCTGAGACGATGACTACATGTAAAAAACGTGTATTTTTTAAATTACAGCCTAACGGTAACTTACCAAGTGAGATTTTATTCCAGAGACTTCCAACGAGCATAGGAAGAACGTTTTAAGTGGCATACATATCTTTGTCATTCTCTAGTAGAAGAATGATTGGAACTTATATGAAGGATAAGCTAGATAGTTTTGCCACATCTATGTGCGTTTATCAATCCAATTTTACCTGCGGTGACAATTATATTGGGCGTACTACTAGACAGCTTAGCTAGCGTGAATATCCTTCATCGTGGGTTTGGCGAAGGACGGATAAAAACAATCGGTAACTCCATTTGGCCACATTTAGATAATAGTGGTGATGTAGTATCCCACTAAATCTTTTCAGTAGACTTCGTCTAGGAGCTCGTTAGCCTTGTAACCAGAAGGTCCTGGGTTTGAAGCAGGTTCTTAAGCAGTACGCACCCTGCAGATGGGCGCGTACTGCTTAAGAGTCCCAGACTAGACTGACGAAACAGCTAGCTGTCAAGTACTCCGTGATAGTTTTTCAGTGTTTCGTCAACTGATACCAGCTCATGATGAAATCCTCAAACCAATCAAACAAAAGTTCCCAAACAAACCAATACTTGAGAATATTGTATTCTTAATTTTAAAATTACTATTCCAAGAGATTTGTAATACAAATAGTCTAAGTATTTATAAATAGTACTTTAAATTATTTAAAAATAAATTCCTAGCTTTTCTATAATTTCTTTTTAACAAAAACAATAGGTACATTATTCGATGGATCACAGATTGAAGTAACTTGGGCGAAACCTGTTGATAAAAATGAAAATGTAAAGCTGAATCGTAATAGTAATGGAATAATTACACCTAATCATAATAATAATAATACTACCACTATTAATCACATTAATTATAATAATAACAATAATAATTTAGCTTTTTCATCATTTACAAATTATTTCCTAAATCCATTGAATACACCAACATGTTCACGATTGTCTATACCGATGAATGTATTATCCTCATCGTCAGCATCTTCCTCGTCATCATCTTCATTATTGTCGTCACCAGTATCGATGACTCTTCCATCGAATTCATGCCTCCTTGCATCATCATCATCGGCAGTAGCGGCACCCTTATTAATGAATTCAGTGAATTTATTAAATAAAAAACATCAAATCAACCAATCAAATACATTTCCTCTATCCTCCTCCTCCTCATCATCATCGTTAATCAATAATCAATCAATATTATCAAATCATTATCAATTCAATAATCTATCAGATAGAATAAATTCAATGAAAGAATTAAAAGGCATAAAACTATCAACACATGATTGTTTCAATTCATGCCTAGATCATCATAATTCCTTTGGAGGATATTCATCTGTAACATCACCAACATCGCCAGGATTGATAACCACGTTGACATCGTCGTCGACATCATCATCCTCATTATTGCCAAGCACAATAACCACTTCAACGATACCGCCAATATCAACATCATTCAATATGTTCAATACTAATCATTGTCAAATGCCACCAAAATGGAATGTTTTAAGTAATAATACTTTAACAAATAATGCGAATAATAATAATACACATATTACTGTTAATACTAACAATAATAACAATAATAATGGTGATATCAATAATCTAATAAATAAGACAATAAATAATAAATCATCATTGATACAACAAAATTCAATTCGTTTAAATGATTTATGTACATCAATTTCATCTGTGTTAAATATTCAACAAAATCAAATACAAAAATATTCAAATTACGTACCATTGAATCCAGGTAATGGACAACAACAAAATCATCACCATCATAATTACCAACCCTACCACCACCACCACCAACAGCAGCAACCAGTACAGTCCAAATCATCAATGTTCAAAGGGAATATTATGTTTAATCAACAGTTAGCAGAATGGTATGTTAATACATATATGTGTAAACCTTGGGCACTGTGGTAGTAAGTAATTCCAATATTAGTATGTGTATTAGATATATCACACAGTCAGTGAAACAGTATTATTATTTACTGGATGACACAGTTTCAAAAATGGCATTTAAACCCATAAACTCAATTAGAAACAAGCTTTGTCAGTTAAAGGATCCTGCCAGTGGAGGCTTTAAAACAAAACAATTTAGTTTATCTAGTACACTACCTGACTGCAATGATTCTCAGGTCGAATACATAGGTTACACTAGTAGAATAGGGGCAGTCAGACTAGCTGAATATAAAAACCTAGCAAAATCTAGATTGGTTGACCCGAATAAGATGTGAAATCTAGAGAATAGTTCAGCTATAGCACTACATGCAGTTACACACAACCATACAATAGGATGTGATAGGATGACAGTTTTAAAATCTAATGTAACATGGTGGAGGAAGAGACTGATGACAGCGGAAGCTTTGTTTATCGAATCAACTGCAAATACGTGTAATAAGAATGATTCAACACCTGTCCCAGATATCTGGAAAATTCTACTACCCCTACGATGAGAAATATGAGAGAACAAAGAAAACTATAAAACTCAAGTTTCGAAGTCGTGTGATTATAACTGATATGATTATGAACCCCAATAAATTTTATTCGAAGCGTCATCCAGTAAATAATACCGTTTCACTGACTGTGTGATATATCTAACAATTCATAGGATGGATAGAACTTGAAAAAGGGTGTGCAGTCATAGGATTAGTAGACAAATCGAATAAAACAAAAACGTTACGTAGTATTGTGCGAAATTTAATGGCATAGAATTTAACTTTGTAAAAAAAGAGAATTGATTTAGAATGACAAGTGGAACAAGTGAAATAATACCGGAGACAGTTCAAAGTGAGAATAGTATTAATAACAATTGACTTAATAAGGAAGAGTATACAAACTGAATAGACAAAATGTAAAAATGAAAAATTGGTAGAGCTAAAATATGATTGGGGATAACCATACTTTAGCATAGATGGATTAAGACCATGAAGGGTGGAGGGGTTGAACGAACTTTTTCTGTTTACAGAGATCTGGCTTTTCTGTTTTGATAGCCAAAGCTTCAGGAATACAGATGAGTCGGGTACGTAGGGATTTGGGTAAATTGCTTTTTGCGTTGTAGATGACTTTAAAGGTGGAGGCTATAGAGATAAGGTGATCATTATCGACCAGATGTTAAATGTTCGCACTTCTTATTGCTCCACTTCCACCTTTTCGTCGCCATGCAGGATAGTGTTCTTGCACCCTCTTAAACAAACTAATATGGGAGAATGATATGTTATTGAGTTTAGAAAAATAATAGTAACAACAAATAATAATTTAATGTTTTTGGCTAAGGATTACCTATAAAGCGCCAAAAGTGTATTGATAACTTTATTTTAAGATATGACGAAATGTTAAATAATGTTAGTGACCAATTTAATTGAATGAAAACCAACAATTTCGTCTCAAACTAAAGATCACCGGATAATAGTTTAGGTTACCAAGTTCTAATTCACTGAATAAATGATCAGTTGGCCAGCCTTATAAACTGGATGTTGTAGTTTCTATTACTGGTTGAGTCAATGGGTATTGCGCTGATGAAGAGAGCCAGACTGAGACGAAGTAGCTGTTTAGTTCTCTTCGCTTACTTTTCAATGCTTCTTCAACGTATGGTGATTTGTGAAGAAATATACATTGAAATTCATCAACATTCCTACATAATTTTGTAAGGATTAGTTTTGTCTGTAAGAGGTGATCACGGATTGATATCAGTTACAGAAGCATTGAAAACCAGCACTGGAGTATTGGACAGCTGTTTCATCCTAGTTTAAGATTCATCGCCAGTACGCACCTACCACCAGGGTTCGAATCTAGGACCTTCCGGCTACAAGGCAAGCTGGCTCATAAACCAATCAGCCACTGGGACCAGATTCAGTGGCCAGTCCATGAATTCTAACTTCTACCAATTCATGATTTAGCGTGACCCAAACCAATTTCGTAAGTGACACAGCCGTTCTCACACTTGACTGGATGGATCTCACTGCTTACAACTTCTCACTAGAACTCCACGGAACTCCCCTTGTGATCACCTCGTAAAAATAAAATTTACAAACCAACTACAAAAAAATTAATCTGATGCTCGCTAGTGACTGGTTCAAACGTTTTACTGACAGATAAGATCTGTGATAAAAATGCAAAACATAAAGTTATACGATAGAGAGTATATCTTCAGAATTAAGAAAATGACTTTAAGCGATTTTATTAAGAATCTCCAAGCATGAGTGTTTGAAAATTCTAATCAAGACTTCAAACAATAAATGTCTAAACAAAGTAGAATTCTGTCATTAAGTGTGATTGTCATATATTGTTAATTTTGCCTAATTTGTGTAAAGCATTAACGTATGATATGATATAGTGATTGATGTCCAATCTCGAAGTAAACCAATCATAACAAGCCAACATAAAATAACGCCACTGTTTTATTGATCATGATTTCAAACTAACTGACATTTCATTGGTGATATTTGAAACTATACATTATCGCATAAAACATACTTTGCGGCTAACGTTATTGTGCGTTCTTGTCCAATTATTGCACGCTAGGGGAATTGGTAGTTACCTGGCATGGTCAAGCGGCACTGGAGATCACAGCGTCCAAGTGAATTATAACACTAATATTTAACAATTCACACACACACACACACTCAACATGCTTCTTTTTATATCTCTATTTTTATCAAAAACAGATCTCTCATTAGTTTATAAATTTATCAGTGAACTAAATACCTTTCAAGGGCATTTATGACCTATATGTATGGCGCCGCGGTCAACCGTTTTTGTAACAACAGAAGACAAGGGTCAGGCAACAGATCGTTTTATTAGGGAAATCAACACGTATTTATATATATATTTCCTGATTATTATTGTAGCTTATTCAAGTAGACAAACGCAGTCTTCTGATTGGTTGTTTTCGAGTTCCTCGGAAAGTGGAGCCATCTATCTGCGAATCATATTTGCCCACGTTTAAGTTTGCTGTGATTGGTTTTTGAAACAGCCTTGTTCATATTTCCTCACGGCCCATATTAGTGACCTAGACAGTGACGTAGATTAATGTCAACCAATTGGCTAGCAAGCTGCTCTCACCACATTTCCACTATTGTTTCAGAGTACTGTATACAAGCTGTTTCGTCCTAGTTTGAGACTTATTGTTCATACTACCCAACAAGCTAACTCTGATACTACCTAGTGACTGCCTATAGTGTGAAGTTGTTTGGAGTTCTAGTAAGAAGTTGTAACCAGTGTGGTCCACATCAAATTGAGTGTGGGACATATACTCTTTAGTGATGACACTGTGTGATGGTCGCTCTAAAATCACGAGTTGGTGGAAGTTAGAATTCATGAGCTGGTCATTGAACCAGGTCCTAGTGGCTTGTGAAGGGATAGTCTTATTGTTCGAATCCAATCTAGGATGAAACAGTTCTCCAGTATACTCCTTATTGATCTTCAATAGTTTTTCTAAGTGATATACATCCCTGGTCATATGTATAACAAATCTTTGATTGTCCCACTGAAAGATCTCAGCTGTTTGGTGAGGGCTCTTGCAATACTTAAATATAAAAAGTTTGAAGACCTCATCTAACATAATGGGAAATCATTCACGAATACTACAGATGTATTCATTCATATACAAAATTCTATATAGAGAAGTTAGTCGGTTAGAAAAGTGAACACATTAATTTAATCTGTCACAATGAAGAAGTTTATTCTGCGGTATTCGACTCATTACAGTCACTTTTGAAAAATATAGTTGATAGAATTTCTCTCTTTTTCTATAATTTACAGAATTCATAACGTAAAACCAGTAATTATGAATTTCGAAGATTTCAGTAACAACTGAAATACCCATTTGAACATTTAGGAGACAAAAAAGACTGATTATCAAAGAATATTCTTTTCGATACCTTTCTCATCCGGTTCTAAATAATATTTAAAGATTATTGATTACTAACGACCTTAAGCATATTCATAATCTTATATCTTAATTTCATACTGCATGGTTAAACAAAGGACAGATAAGGTCTATTCTTAGCTATATTTTAGCTTACCTTAACAAGGCTTTCAAAGTTATCTACCGTATTCCGACGGATCTTAATTTCTCCCTACGTGTTCATATTTAACAGACAACTGAAGTCATCAGAATCTACTTGAAAAAGCCCAGCTCTTGTGTTCAAAAGAAATTTGTACAACCACTTTGCTTATCTTGGTCCTCATTATCTGCCTGTAACGGTCTGAAAATTTTGCCTTCCAAAAGAGCCTTATTTACGAACTATTATTATTTCAAGCATTAGCTTTGTAGGGATTTTTGTTTGATTGGCTCGGGGATTTCATCATGAGCTGACATTAGTTAGACAAACATTCGAAAACCAGCCACAGAAAGTACCGGACAACAGCTGTTTCGTCAGTCTAGTTTGGAATTCTTAAGCAGTACACACCCACCACAGGGATTTAAACCCAGGACGTTCTGGTTAAAAGGCCATAGAGTTCGTAGACCATTAAACCACTGAGACTCGATCCAATGGCTGACCCATGAGTTCTAACCTCCGTCAATTCATGACATATTCCAACCACTTCTCAGTGTCTTCTTCGATGAGTTACTGCCTCATCTTCTGCATTAATTTTCATATATATATATATATATATATATATATATATATATATATATGGATATGGATATTATCAAAAATACATGCATTATGGCTGTAATTTTGTTGATCTGAACCACTCGATGTTCTTGGAAAGAAAACGTCACAGTTGTCAATTCCACTTACCCTTTGAATAATACGTATGTCTATAACTGCAGAGAGTGAGAGAGAGAGACAGTTAAGCCAGACATCGAAAAGAATATTCCTTGATCAATCCTTTTTGTCTTTTGAGAATTTGATTGGCCTGAAAAGTGATTCTAGCAGTAAATGAAATCAATGAGAAAATCATTGTAAATCACAGCAATGTTTAGTATCTTTTATCTAGTCCCCTTTTTAAAATTCTTTGAAAGTCCAGTTATTTTGAAATGTTAATATGAATTCATGGTCATTGAAGTCTCATTAGTCTGATATGATAATATACTCGTTGATGACACACATTCATGCTGATGCTATAGAGCGAGTTGGAAAAAAGAAATGAATATAATTCTTTAATTTTTTCCATCTCATCGAAATGGTTATGTCTCTTGGTGGCGTTTCCTTTGTCAGCTCTTGAGATGACTATATTTCTATCCTGTTTTAGACTAATTAAAGCTTCTCTTTCCAATTTTGTTAAGTTCGGTTTTGTTTTCTTTTGATTTTTCAGGGTTAATGCACATTGTTCTCGAACTTCTTCTGCTGTCGTCTTATCTATTGAGCTTAGTGATACTTCTATGTTGGGAATGAAATCCTCTGGTTTTAATTTATTAACTGTTACATTGAAATTTAGTCCTTTCTCAAGTACTTTTATCTCACTAGAGCTTAGTTCCCTTTATGAGAGGTTGATCACCTACTTTGTTCTGTCAATAGAGGAGGAAGTGTTGACATCAGTTTCATTTGTTGTGTTCTTTTCTTCAATTAGTTTGTTGAATTTTTTGATTTGTGTAATTTTTGATTTTCTTAATGCTGATTCTCTAGCTTTTTTGTATGTTTCAACAACAATTATATAACCTTTGTCAATGACCGTATATTTGAGTTTGTGTTTGAGTTTTTTAATTTCATTTCGTATATTATTTAGTTTCACAGTAACTCGATGTAGTTCTTCTCTTAGACATAATCTACTTATATGTTCCGCTGCCGATGTTATTTTGCTTGAAGTAATTGGAGTATGTAGACGTAAATATTTAGAAATTATATGATTTTTTAAACATCGACTGTTAAAAATCCGATGAATCCGGTGAATCTTACTTCAGTTTGATTAAGTCGTGTGAGTTTGTTGAACTTGGGTTGGATAGTTGGTTTTTATTTTTGTAGAGTCGAAAAGTACAACGAAATAGCCTTAGAGTTCCAATGAAATCTACCTTATATCATAACAGATTAAAATTAAATATTTTGTGAGTGTGTGTCATTTACTGATTTTGTTTTCTTCTCTCTTTTGTAGTTCCCCTACATCAAACGGTGTACAACCTACTCCAATATTATTAAATCAATCAAGTTCAAATCCGAATTCAATATTTCCTAATTGTGAGAATGCTATACAATTTAATCCTGGTTGTATAAATTTTAAGGATCAGTGTAAAATTGACAGTGATAAAGTGAGTTTGAAGCAAAATATGATCATCATTATCATTAATAATCCCTTGAATTTCCAGTGGAACGTAGGAATTCACTAGTACATCTCTATTTGACTCTGTTTTCTGAAATCCTTTTCAGCTTACTCTATGATTGTCTGTACCACTTCATTTCTTCTTCACATGATCTTTTCCACTACTACCCTCGGACTCACTCCTAAGTCGTTGTTTCCTGTTCCGCTTCCATTAAAAGGCATGATGCCGCATGTTACTCAACGGTCTCCTCAGCATGTGTTGCATTGATTTCCATTTCCTTGGTTAGTTAATGTTGTAATGGAGTGTCACTGTCGTTCAACTTAGGTAGAATACGTCTACAGACACGAAACGATAGCCAGCTAATTGCTTAAAAATATTCCCAACACTGAGATAGATGCAGAAGTCAGATTCGAGTGTGACAGCCACACAAAAACAACCTATTTTATTCATTAAAATAAGAGTATAAAATATTATTTACACATCAACTGAAACTTAAACCATTAATGCATGACCTTGAAGATCCTCTAAAATAAACCAATCAAGAATTATTCAATCAGGTTATTAGGTATCAGAAATTCACGGCTTACATAACTAGTTATTCCGTTGTAACACCTCCCCCTTCTCTTAAATTTTCAATTGGGGAACCACTAGAAGATGTATGTAAGTTTGGTCACTCTCCATTTATGATATTTAGTTTGTAGAGTTGCATGATGCTTATTTCTTTTGACCAGCCATCTAATCTTCTGTGTGAATCGATGGTAACTATTGATAAAAGTCTTCAGCCTGTTGAAAATGCTTTCGGTGACGCGCGAGTTAACTCTTTGAACCATATAGAAGCATTGATTGACATCAGATTAATACTGAAAATCCTAATCATCTTCCCTATGCTGAGTACAGTAGATCTTTACACAGATTTTAAAATAATATACGTATGTCTTGCTTTTGTGCTCCTTCTTTTGACATTCTTATCTGTTCCACCAATAGCTGAAATGATACTGTGGTGAGAGTAGCCTGCAAGCCAAAGTGGTAGACAGTAATTTACGTGAATAATTTACCTCCCGAATCCAGGTCATGAGAAAAAACAATGACAAAGCTTAACTTTGATGAACTCACCAACCAATCACAGCAGACTTTAAGTGTGTAAATACTATTCGCAGATATATGGCTTAACTTTCTAAGAAACGGTTCTAAGCAGTACAGAATAAAATTCAGCGTGAAAACAATCAATCAGAAGACGCTGCTTCTCTGATAACAATAACGCTAATAATAATATACATAAATAATCTATAAATATTTGTTGATTTTCTCAATAAACTGTCAGTTGCCTGTCCCTTGGTTTCTGCCGTTAAAATACTACCTGGGGCTAGTGGTGGTTGATTTTGGCTAAGTTAAACTTTAGACACCACTAACAACCAACCAGCAAACGACCTTGAACGAACCAATTACATTAAAGAGGCATATATGATGAATGGAAATGTATATCAAATAAAGTATAATTATATTTTAATAGTTTACACACAATGATAAGTTTTGTTATTGTATATTTATAGAAAAAAGCACAAAATAGAGAATAAAAAAGTTACATGGGATATCTTTCTCGAACATGTGAGAGAAACATCTCCCAGTTTAGCATGAGACTGTCAATGCTTTTCCATCTGCTATCCTTTCGACGAATCCCTTTCGGAGGGAGGTGTCATACAAACCTATTACCCAAATATTGTTCGCTCGCTGGCAATCTCGGTTGTATTTCTTTTTTACCAGCACTGTCTCATCGACATGCACGATAACGTCCTCCTCACCCAGCAGACAAGTGATTTTCCCCATTTTCCATGATGCGATGTCTCGGCAATGCTGGTACCACTGAACCGTTGAGACATGGCTATTCTCCATCTCGGAAGCTGCTGCTCTCACAGCCTGTTTCAACACCCATTAGTTGCAGATATACAAAATCTGGGTTAGGGAGAGATGCGACCTAGCGAAAGTAAGTTCCTACGAAATATTAAAATTATCAGCTTACCCTCTCCAGATGAACAAACCCATCAGTTGATTTGGTATAGCTTTTTAAAGTAATGTTACCACCACACAAACAAATTCGCTCTTTCCGGAGCAACTCAAATCCAGGAAATACTGGAAAACACTAACCTCCTCGAATCGCAACTGTAGCCTTGTAAGGTCACGCATTAGAAATGAATCAAGCTCTATACAACATTGAACTGCGTTCGTGAACCTCATTGGATAATTCGACATCGTTCGTGAATCTCATTGGATAATTCGCTGATTGGTAGTTAGTGGTGTCGAAAGTTTAACTTCGCCTTGATTTTTGATGTCAATGGTTACACATCTTCATTGCTTTTGTCTCATAAGTGTTCATTTGAAATTCTGTCTTCACGATCTACCCTTCCTGCCAACTTGTTGTTGCTTTAAGCTTGTAAACCTTTGAGTTTGTGAGATATTAGAAATAAATCATCTACATTTCCCAGATCTTTGAATGTCTTCTTATGATAGTGGAAGTTTATTTTCTTATCACATTTGATAATCGTTCTAAATCAACCTATTCTCTCAGTTTACATAAATGACATGAAAAAGGTAACTAGAAATGATGGAGAAGATTTGTAGCGCAGGTGGATAACTTTGATATGATTTTGTTCTCTGAGCTGAATAGTTTATTTGCGATATCTTCAGAGCATACTTCAATTTGAAAAAGATAACTATTAGTCTTGGAATAGAATGAAATCAGTTTGTATACATCCTGCTTGTGCATTATGCTCACAAGTGATTTAAAACTTTCTAACATACGAAATGACACATTTCGGTAAATTTCAAATGACTGAAGTGACCAAAATACGCTTTTTAATTCTTACACATAGCCGATCTGATTCTCAGGAATCATTCTTAACGTAAACAAAAATTAACTTGAAAGGAAGTTAGATGACGATCAGAAATATGCGTTTCATAGGTCTGGTATCACTGACAACAACTATAACCGATGAGTTTCATGAAGAATGTTTGAATCTCTGAGTGAACATTGACTTTCTTCGAGGTTACAGAAACAGCCCACTATGGAGTCTTAGTAGACACGAAAAATAGAATGAAGTTAGTCCCACTGATAAATTTGGATATGGCATTCAGAAGACTTCGGTCAACCATCAAAAACGAACAGAAGGCTGCGTGTTCGGATCACGTCGGGCTCACCAGTTTAAAGGTTGACGGATATCTCGTTCAACAACTTCTAATTAATTTATTCTCGTGTCCCAAAGACAAAACAAAAGCCAATTATTGATCGTCCAAACCAAGCGATATATTTAGGAACCAAAACAAGCCGTTAGACGTACGCTTAGCTAGCTAGTAATCGTGCACGTGACACGACGAGGTACCAAATGGCGGGGATGCTTGACCGGAAGCCTTCAGCTAAACAAGTCGACTTAAACAGTGGTGGTCAGCATCCAATGAGTGATTGCTGTGGTCAATAATTTTGGGGAATTATTTACCGCTACACTATGCCGCCTCTCTTTTTTATCACATGTCGAACATTTTCGATCCCTGTACCTACGATTAAAGGACGAAATTCTATAGACTCTGATTCAAACTGTATCCACAAGTTCACCTGCAATTACGGTAGAATCAATAAAATGTTTTAGTGTCATTGAAAAGAACATGTTCCAAAATGGTTATTAAAATGCATGGGAAATCCCAATGCAATTAATGTGAATAGAAATTCAGTATCATCATCATCCATTGCAAAACACTTATTAATGTCAGGTCACAAAATCAATATTAATGACTGTTTCACGGTTATTCCACATAATTCTAATTCAAGGTCGATTATTAAAGGTGATAGAAGCACTTTGGATTAACCACATGCAGCCTAAACTGTGTGTACAAAACACAATAGACTTCAACCTTCGCCTACCATGAACTGACTACTTGACCTATTTAAATATGATTGGTCATTAGTATGTAATTTTGTTTTTTTATGTAGCTGAGTAGTTGTCATGACCTTCATTTTATTATTGTTAATCATGTTAGTTGTAAAGCGGTTGTAAAGCAACTGCAAAATGATGGCATCATCTCGCGAAATTTGTCTTCTAAATGCTTTATTAGAATTAAGTAAGTTGGGAAATTCAATCAATGAGGTTAACAATTTGCATGAGTTTAGACCCTTAGGATACCTGTCACTCATGCCATCGCCTTCTTTATCGAGTAGTATTAGCTGACATAGGATTGGGTTAGAAAAGAGTAGAGGGTGTTCAAACCAAACCATGAGATGAATGCATAGAGTTATTAACTGATGTTTTGAATCATGTAAGGGAGATGTAGACGGATAGTCTAAGAATCGATAGTTGAAGATAACTGATGGTAAGGTTCAGAATCAATTGAATGGATGGTGTAGATGCATTCACTGAAACACAGATCCATTAAATTCTCATTATTCAGCATGTAGTTACTCTTCCTTCTGTACACTACCATTTACTATACATTCTTTGCACTACTTTTCCCATCTTTGTAATGTAAGCTTTCTGAAATGTGGCAAATTGAACTGCTGAATTCTTGTACAAACGTCTGTGTTGTGAATTTGTTTCGATTCTCTGTGGCAAGTTTCTGGCGATCATTTACAACCACCTAGCGTATAATTAAAAGTTCATTATGATGGAGAGTTATCTAGTTTAATGAAACTCGTCACTAACTGATGACCTATATATATACTTGAACGTTGTCTTTACAGTCCTTTGTAGGTATTCGCCTTAGTTTTAATCTTTAGAGGGTATGTCGTTTTCACTGATCCTAATGTTGGATTTCCTCTCTTGTCTCTCACATTTTATTCATATATTCCAGCTTTTCTGGTATTCTAAAATATGTGGTAATTGTATAAATGTCAGTATTTTCGTACATTAATCGCCCTCGATGAATTTGAATAAAGCAAGAACAACAGTTTTCGCAAAATAAAATGGTATCACCATTTGTTTCGTTAACTTCTCATCAGCTGCTTACAGGCCAAAGTCATTATTAAGTGTATCTACAGAAACAATTTTAACATACTTGCCCAAAGTTCATTTTAAACAAAAATCAATCGATCAGTATATGCATACAGTAATAATATATATATATATATATATATATATATATACTATTAAACTGTATTCCGAACAATAATTATCACACACAATGGAAACTCTCAACATTACGTGATCAGATGTGAGATAGGTGAAAATATCCAGTTATCAGGGCAAAGAAATTCTGATAACTGCATGAATCAGGTTTCATGCACTTGATGGAGATCACTACGATAAAATTGATAAATTTGAACGATCTTGCTATTTCCACCTCATGACCCGTGTCAAAGAGGAGGTGCCTAGTGACGACACTTTTCCAAGCATTTGTTCACGTTAGATATGGGCTTTTTGATACATGTTCAGAAAATCGGAGGTATGCCCTTCTTTCTCTTCTTCCAATGTAACCGCTTTCGCAGATACACACGTAAATTTTGTTTATACAGTCAGAGTTAACATGAGAAGGATATCTAGTGATTTTTTTAGTTCTCAATTTGATCTGAATTTCTTGAGGATGAATCAGCTTCTTTGTTAGCCCTGAGTTCATGATATGTGCATGTACTGTTACGATAACCTTATTAAACAGGTTTTAATTCGTTTATTTATGGCTTAATTTTCGGAGGGGTCACCATTTCATCCACCCAGTAAGATTTATTTTATTATACGCTTGAATTTCTGAGTCTTGTAATTATGATATACCATTAGGGCATTGTATAAGGTCCCGGTGGCTTAATGGTCTACGAGCTCTCTGGCCTTGTAACCAGAACGTCCTCGGTTTGAATCCCTGTGGTGGGTGCGTACTGCTTAAGAGTTCCAAACTAGACTGGCGAAACAGCTGTTGTCCGGTACTTTCTGTGGCTGGTTTTCCAATGTTTGTCTAACTAATGTCAGTTCATGATGAAATCCTTGAACCAATCAAACAAAAAAGATCCCTACAAACCACTTCTTGAATAAATATCGAATAATTAGTTTGATAGATATTGTCTTTATTATTCTTATCGTTGTTTTTTTTCCAGTGTGATTTTTGTGTTTACTAACTGATCATGATGTGATCTTGCCGTGTTCTGGTGGTGCATTCTAGTCACATTAGAAGATTCCATAACTCAGTATCACTGGATTATAACAAAGGATAAACCCCTATGTTCCCCTCACAAAGGGAGGAAGTGGGAATATCATAATTTACATTTTAATTAATATATATATTTTCCATAGTTTGTTTGTAAGGATAAGTTTTGTTTTTTACGAGTTCATCACGGATTGACATCACTTATAGAAGCAATGAAAACCAGCACTGAAGTACTGGACAGCCAGCTGTTTCATCCCAGTTTGAGAATCATCAGCCCTAACCCACCGCCAGGGTTCGAACCTAGGACCTTCAGGTTACAAAGCAAGCTCATGAGTCATTGAATCGGGTCCCAGCGGCTGAATGGTATGTGAGTGCGCTGGCCTAGTGACCGGAAGGTCTTGGGTTCGAACCATATCGGTGAGCGCGTACTGCCGATGACTCCTAAACTAGGATGAAACAGATGTCCAGTACTCCATGTGGCTGGTTTTCAATGGTTCTCTAACTGATATCAATCCTCGATCAACTAGTAAATATATATATATATTAAAGAAGATGCATTGTCATACTTATAAAGTTTATATATTACATAACAGAAACTAAAATAACATTTTATTTTTTATTTTTTTAAATTTTATTTAATATTAAAAAGTTGCTAATGGATATCTGTTTGAAAAATGGATTTGGTTCACCAAAATTTACAACTTTGACACAAAGTTATGTAGATCAATTGACTGGAAAAAAGATGAATTTATATACAGGTCAAGTAAGTGAAAAATGTTTTTGCATAGGCATTATTTTCTATCTATTTATTTATCTTTCAGGGAATATGATCTTGATGTAGACATCTTATCTGTAAATGAACTCTAAAATCATTGATTGACTTATTGTCAAGTATTGATTTGTAAAGAGATTTGATTAACTCTAAGTTTAATAACGAATTGATATTAGTTAAAGATTCGTTAAAAATCAATGTGTAATGGGAAGTAGTTTTGTCCTAGTTTAAGTCTCTTCATCGGTACACAAACATGATCTTATCTACCGGGGGATTAAACTCAATACCTTTAGGTTACAAGGCCAACTTTTTGGGCGTTTAGCCATTGGGACTGCCAGCTGAAATTTTCGGTGAGTATTTGTTCAGATGAAGCTTTTCTCTGAATCTGAAGATATACTTTATTTTCCTTCAAGTTTCCACTGAAACATAGGGCCACAAGCTAGTGGCTTGAAGTTTCTGTAGCAGTGTTTTATTTTTAAAGGATGAGGTTGCTAGCCTCATGCCCAACCTTTCCTCTTTACCAGTATTATTTCTGGTTTATAGCAAGGTAAAGGAGTGCGTCGGTCAGAGATCGAATCCCAGACCATGTACATGGTTGCCGAGATTCCGCTGTGCCGTCGACGCACAAAACTTGAGAGCCCTGGGCAACCGTTTTGCCCTAGTTTGAAACTCTTCATCAGTGCGCACCTACCTGGGTTCGAACTCAGGACCTTCTGATTACAAGACAAGCTCGTTAGCCATTAAGCCACTAGGATCCTGAGATATGCGGGTATATTTGAATTTCTATTAGAATTATAAATGTAACGGTTCAAGTTCCCACACTTCACAAATGAATGCAAAGAAACCGTAATTACTGAAAATGTAAGCGGAGAAAAATGAATAATGAGAATTGTATGAATCTTGTGGTTCATCATCAGTGAAGGCATATGGACCTTTGAGAACAGTTTTGAGCAATATCACCAACAGTTTCCACTGACTAGTTCTTATCACTTCAACGATCTCAGCCAGCATTCAGGTTATCTAATAGTTTCAATATTGTTTTCTTACTTATAGGAAAATGTAGTATTTGAAAGATTTTAGTCAAAGTAATTCGATAATTTCGAATAGATTTCTTGATTTAACATGTCACGTAAGGGAGACTACATCCTTTTAGGATAGTCTGTACTACCGTGTGAGACGAAGCGATAGAAATACGTTGGACCGACTGTAAGACTCTAGAAAATCTCAACTTTTCGGATGATTTTCATCCAATGTCATACAAACTTGAAGATCTCAAGGCAAAAATGTATAAGCTGATAGAATAAACAGCGAAATAGCAAATTCAAGTAGTAAGTTCAGAAGCGATGAGGATATCCAATAGACTACCCTAGATTTTCATCAACACTTTTCTTCTCTCGACTTTAAAGAGAAGATGGTCAAGAATGACTAGCAACCAACAGGGAACTCCTGCAGCTAACAATGCAAGGTCCTATCCCTCAATAGTTAGTTATTCAGTAAGAAATAGATACAAATTAGGTATACATTGCGGAGATCTTCAAGTCATATTATACGCTAGGCTGACCCTAATAGTAAGAAATAAGGTGGGTTGAGGGCCTGAGAGTGACACAAATGAAATTATGCGATGAGAATATGAAATCTTATGGACAATCACTTGGCTAATTGAAAGAGATATCAGAGAACCAGATATAGTGGGAATGATAGGTGGAATGGAGTTTAAATAATTATTTGAATAATATATGAATTATGTTTCATTTATGTTGTACACTCTAAGCTAAACAGTTTTTTGATAATGTTTTGTTAGTCTCTGTATAAGATATTCCCTTCTAACGAGTGCCAACAAGTATGATCGCCTCCAGCCATCTAATGACAATTCTGAGTGCACTGTGTTGATGACCCACCGAGAATGGTGGCCACATTGTAAACGTGACTGATAGAATTCAGTCTGCAAGAAACAAAGGAGTATAGGTTTCCAGATAGTAGGTGTTACGAACTTCCTGGAATAATTTAAGCGCCAAGTCAGATTGATTCATTATAAATTATTTAAGTTAATCCCAGAGTGTTAAGAAAATCAAAACACGATCTGTTTTCTAAACGTTTCGCTGTGTAAGCCACAGCTTCTTCAGAAGATTTGTTCGGATGTTTATTAATCATCAAAATATATAGTCAAAAATGTTTAACATAAAATGAAGTCAGTTTATTTGAAGGTCATTCTTCCATGGACATTTTTTACCAATAGAAGTATGTAGGCTGTCCTCACATATATTTGTAATGACTAATGTCAAATTGTTGTTGTGTTTACTCTTCTATAGTTGATTTGTAAAGATTAGATTTGTATGCGTGTGTGTATGTATGTATGTTATATATCATATGGAAAATACGTGAATTCATATGTGATAAACATGATACTATACTTATCATTACTTACTTATTTTACTTCGGCTATCTCCTACGGTAGGATGAGCCGGCTCCATGAACCATGAAGTTTCATGGGAATTGGATACGAGAGATGTCCCCAGCATCGCTCGGCCTTTGTTTGAGAGTGCAGCTCTAGCCTTTACACAACCAAGTGGGACCTACAAGGCAGTAGGAGTGGAGTAGGGAGTCCACTATCCATTGGCAGCCGGTGACCGGAGTTCGGTTCATTCGCCTTTTTGAATGGGGCCAGTCATCCAGGACATCCAATAAGCCCTTTGTCCATACGTCTGCCGGTGAGCTCCAGTGAGCTTCATACGCCAGTCGTTGGAGGTTTGAAATCAGGGTTTAGCCATCTCCCCTAGACTGTCATCCAATGGACAGTCAACCCGGTGAAGAGCGCAGGGAGTCCGCTTTTGCCCTCTCACTTTGGTGAAAAACACCTCCGCCACGTAAAGGCAGTGAGTAGGGCTTCTTCAGGAGAGGCTATGTAAGACGCCCGGTCATATGGGAGCATTTCAAGAGGTGTACGGAGGGGTGGCCAACCGGCAGCGCAAAACACCCACCCCCGACCATCCTGAGTCTTATCATTGTGTGTAAATTAGTGAAATATAATTATACTTTATATGATACTACATGTTTTAAAAGGTCATGGAGGCTCATAGAGTGCTTGTTGTTTTTTTTCATTTGTCTTACTTCATAAGAGTTTGCCATATAGGTGATAAGTCTATACCTTCTTTCCTATTCACTGCATTTGATGTGGTTAAAATGTGCAAGGCTTCAGAGGTCAATCTTTCTTTATGTGTTGAATGAAATCCTCTTCCAAGAATTTCGGCATTGTCGAAATCAATCTTATGTCCACTGTCTATCGCATGTATTGCTATAGCCGATCTTTTTTCTAGACTTTTTAATTCTACTTCATTTCTAGGTAGACGTTTCGTGCAAAGTCTGTGTTCATTCACTCTGACCTTCATCTGCCTACTGCTCTCCCCTATATAGCATGCATCACATTCTGAACACTTTATCTTGTAGACACAATTAATTTGTGACATTTCGGGAACTATATCTTTGATATGCACCAGCGCTTTCTCTAGAGAATTAGAAGTTTTGACACAGACTTTAATATTATAAGAAGCAAATATTCTTTGAAGTTGTTTAGCTGTGTCTTTTCGATATGGGTAAAAAATGTCCATGGAAGAATGACCTTCAAATAAACTGACTTCATTTTATGTTAAACATTTTTGACTATATATTTTGATGATTAATTATAATCCGAATAAGTCTGCTGAAGAAGCTGTGGCTTACACGGTGAAACGTTCAGCAAAATCTTGTTTTGATTTTCCTAACACTCTGGGATTAATTTAAACAATTTATAATGAAAACGAAGGAGTAGACGGAAGACACTAGATACTCATCACTTAGCGTTCAACAAAAGCAACATAATCAGTGCTGAATTCAAAGTTAAGCAAGATTCAAGAATTTTATATGCATAAAACTGACCATTTTCCCTCACAATTGCGACTATGATTATGTCATTCCCTCGTTATATTCTTCTGTATTGATTGATAACAATCGTCTCATTGATCTGACACTTGACCTTTCGATTGGTAAATTTAATCACAAAATGAGTTATTCACTTACAAAATAGAATTCATTTTAATTGTGTGTATTTTTCTCGTACAGGTTTATCTACCCAACTTAAGTCGTCAATTCATCTCGAATAATCCGTCCATTACAATTGAGAGATCAATAAAACTAGCAAGTGAAGCCGCAATCCATTGGTTATTTACTCATTATTTTACCAATACTACTATTAATAATAACAATATGAGTAGTAATAACAATAATTTGCTAAATACTTGTAAGTTTACAAATCTCAATCATTCTCATCAACTGCTACAACCACAACAAGAGCAACAGAAACATCAACTTATAAATTCTTTCTCCAATCATGATTTGATTGTCAGTAATAACGGTAATAATAATAATACTAGCATAATATTTTCCGCCTCCTCTGTCAACACTCCAATTACTGCTTCATACAATTGTAATTCATGCTCATCTCATTGTTTATCAACAACATTGAACACATTGAATGGATTAACAGAACAATCGCCTGTGAATAATATTCAGTGTCAGACAAACTTAAATTTACCGCCGTTGCAACTAGGATATTCAAACAATGAATGCGCTACAAATAACAATCATAATAATAATAATAACAACAACAGTACTGTTGAACATTTAATATCTTCTAAAAATCTAATAAATTCTCAGCATACTTTTGATTTAAATCATCATTCACTTCATTCAACATATAATAATATTAATAATAATGATACTAATAGTAATAATAATTGTAACATTTTTATAGAAGATTCACAGTTTAACAAAATAATTAATGATGATGATGATGGCTCTGTTGAGAGTAAAAACAACAACAACAACAATATTGATGATATACTTGAGACTACAAAAGAAGTTGATAGCATGGATAGTACTTCACATTCAGTATTATCAATTTTTCGTAATATTCATAATTTTCAACAATCTCAATCAAATAATCACAATACTTTAAGAAAAAATGAATTCTCAAGTAAGTGAAGATGATATTAGTTGGTGACTTTCCAACATCAATTACACTCATTCGAAAAAGAAAAAGAAGTATTTGATTGGTTGGAGGACTTCCTCATGAGCTGACATCAATTAGAGAACCATTCGAAGACCTAGGGAAACTGGACAGCTATTTTGTCCTAGTTTGGGACTCTTAAGCAGTACGCACCCACCATCAGGGTTTGAATCCACGACCTTCTGGTTACAAAGCCAGCTAGCTCGTGGAGCACTCAGCCACTGGGACCCAATCCAACAGTCAGTTCATGGAATCTAACCTTTGCCAATTCATGACATAGCATGACTTTTTCTCAATGTCTTCTTCGATGAGTTACTGCCTCATCTTCAACTTGCTGTACCCTAGTAGTCACAGCTTCCCACTAGAACTCCAAGTCACACTTTCTGAATAGGGCCAGTCACTAGTGAGCATCGAATCAATTTTCAAGTATTGGTTTTGTAGGAACTTTGTTTGGTGAAATTCTCCAGCCAATCAGACAAAGTCCTTACAAAATCAATACTTGAAAAGACAAATATTTACTTACGAAATTGATTACTTTTTATGAAAAAAATCATTTCGAATGATTTGTTTTGTTCAACTGGAGTCTTCAATCTTTGTTGACATGTTCACTAATACAGTATGCCTATAAGTTATTATTTGATTGCCTGTGGCTAGAAGTGGCCTCCTACAGAGATTTTCCGTCGTGTTGCTTATCGGATTAGTTCAGTTATCTACACAATTTGATAACCTCCTAAGAGAATGCTGAATTATATTATGCAAAATTGTTATAATAGTGATAATTTTTAGGCTAAATGACACAATACTGTGATAAAATGTAATTCAGTATTCTGAACTATAAGTTAATAAAGAGCCCTGATGGAATTCAAGTATTTTATCAAAGGAGCAGTGCTCATTAGTAAAGTCTGTAATCAGTCTACCTTGAGTTAATTGTTAATTACCTTGTTAATCAACCTGTTCAGCTTATTAGTAATCCTTTGAAATCAATCTGATTGCCTGTGTGTTAGTGACACAGCGGTAGAGTGCTTGACAACCACTCAAGTGGTCCGGGTTTTGATCCCCGGCCACTGACGCACTCCTTTACCCGCGTCACCTAGTGCTGCAGCCAGTCAGAGGCGTTACCACTGACCTATTCAAGCTCGCGATTGGCCTCCTGTAGGACTGTATTACATACTTTTAATTCAACACTAGTCAGTAACTAGTGTGTAATGTGCGTGTCAAGTCCTATCTTTTGGTGCAGACTGAATTCTATCAGTCAAGTTTGTAATGTGGCCACCATTCTAGGTAGCTTGTCATCCCGGGGCATATTGATTTAATGATATTAGATGGTTCGGAGGAGTGCTCGAAGTTCTAACAAATCAGTCGAAATACTCATTGCTTGCTATATGCCTAATAAAATTGGAATATTTGATGGATATTTAATAAAATTTTATTAACTACATTTTTATACTCGTATTTTTTACTTTTTTTTTATCAGTTCTGTCAAACATTAAGAATGGAGGTAATAGTGATAAGATGAGTAATAATAATGAGAATAATAAGGACAGCGATGATATAACTGATGAAGACTGTACTCTTTTTGACGAAATCGATGGAGATAAGGGAATATTCAGTAAAATGAATGGTAATATTAATAATAATACGCTTCCAGGTATTAATTTTATGAATAAATCTAATTTACAAAATGAACAAAATGAACAGCAGTTCAATAAAATTTATGAAGAGTCACCATATTTTATGCTTGATCAAATTATCAATGATAATTCAACATCAATAAATCAATTCCACAAATCAATCGATATCATCAATCATAATAATAATAATGATGCTAATGATTTACAAACTGATATTGATTTTATTTCTTCAATCAATAATGATGATAATTTAAATTCACTAATCAATAATAACAATCAATATGAATTATTTAGCAAACAAATAAAAGATATTGAAAATATAGAAGGAAATAATTGTTTAAATAGAAATATTTTACAAAATAATAATAATGGTGATAATAATGATAATAACTGTGTACAGGATGGCATAGATTTTAATCGATTAATTCCTAATGATGAGGTAGAAGAATCAATAATCAATACAAAATCGAATTATCTCCTACAGCACCACCACCAACAACAACCACAACAACAATCGAATTCATTACACAAATCATGCCTGATAAGTTCCTTTGAGAAGAATTAGCATTCTTCCATTTCTGAATCCTTCTCGTTTATTGCTACTGCTGTTATTATTGTTATAATTATTATTATCTTTGTCAGTGTTATCCTTATGTCCAGGAGTCTCAGCTACATCGAACTGATTTGTACATTCTGAATTCAGCTGATAGACAGACAGACACACACACGCATTCACATCGGAATCTTGTTTTATCTATCTTGTATACATGAATAATTGTCTTCCTTAAATAAGTTGTCAGTAGAATATTACAGTGGTATTAAAAATTTTTTTGTGAAACTTCACTGTTTGTTTGTTTCTTAGTTTTTTTTAAACTATTTTGTTAATTACGCAATATTAGTAGGTTAAGTATGATCCGGCTTACTTGTCAAATGCCCTCAAACATACACAAGTACACCTCAATGCCTACAAGTCTTATATCACCATTAGTAATTTTGTTGTAAGAAAGTTATGTGCCTTTTAAATCTATCTATTCAGGTTGATTTTTACATACATCTATAAATGTTCAATTTGTCTCCTTTATTTTTGTCTTTTTGTCTTTTCGATAGTCAGTTTTCAAAACAAGTAGGTCAGACTATTTATATTAACTTTTTTCTACTTGTTAACCATTTCTTCAATTTAAACAAAAATTTCAACCTAAAGGAAATAAAATGTAAAAATTTCCACTGAAATGAAGGTTATTCAGAATAGATTATGCAACCGTTAATATGTATACATGTATATATATATCCGTATATGTATATGATAGTTTGCAGTGGACAAATGTAAGGCGATAAATACTCTAGTTCACATAAAAAAATACGCACAAGAATACACAGGCAAACAAAAAAAAGACACACGATTAACTCAAGTGAAAATGAATACTGAATGCGTCGTTTTCCATAAAATATATTTCTTTATGTAATCATCAAATATATATATATATATACATGTGCTGGTCTCAGTGATTCATTGTAAACATATAAGGACAAATTAATTTATTCAATATTCTATTCTCGTTTCTATGATTAAAATTAAAACGTCTTACAATACTGTGTCTCTCTTTCGCTCTCACTCACCTCAGTATACCTTTATTCTGTTTATAATAATAATAATATTATTATTTCCCATCGTTAAATTAGTGAAATATTTTTATTTGAATATGAGTTTTTTTGTCTTCAACCAATCAACTAACAACCAATAACAGCTGGAAAAACCTGCGATAAAATCCATAAATAATCACTTTTACTCTCTTTCCAATAGTAGACTATATTAATATTACCATTATTATTATTATGAGAAATTTTTTGTTTGCGTTTCATTTCATTAATCCTGGTTCAAATTGAATTGTCTCGGTAAAAAAAAATGATTTAGTGTTTAATTTGTTCCCTTTTTTGGATGAATTTGTATACGATTCCTTTTTTTCCTGTGTGTATGTGTGTGTGTGTGTGTGTGAGAAAGAGAGTCCCTCAGTCTCTCTCTCACACACACGCATACCTTTTTTTGAATATGTTAATCGTTGTAGTCTTTACAATTGAACATTTTTTTCTGTCTAGTAATTAGGTGTTCAAGTAAAATATAGTTTTAAATTTAAATATTCTTAGCGTCTGATTGATTGGTTGACTTATCGATCGATTAGTTGACTACTTGACTGTCTATCTAACTACCTATTGATTGATTGATTGACTGATTAATTAACTGATTGATTCAACATTGCAGAACTTTTCATAAAAGAATATTACGTTAAGTTATAACTCCTCTGTGAAAGTACACACACACGGAAAGAAAAATGAAAGCAGTATGATAAAAGTATAATCGATGAAGATGTATCAGAAAGCAAATACTTGAGTGAAGATGAGAAAGTTGATAAGGAAGAAAATATATCAATGCTTTTTTTTATTCCGTTGCGTTCCTGGAGTGGAACATAAGGCTTCAAGCTAGAGGCTTGAAGTTTCTGTAGCAGTGGTGATTATTTTTATTGGATGAGGTTGCTAGCCTCATTCCTAATCTTCCCTCTTTATCAGTCTTACTAATAACTGGCTTAGCGAGGCCAAGGAGTGCGTCGGTGGCCGGGGATCTAACCCCGGATCACATGAAGCGTGGTTGTCGAGCACTCTACCGCTGTGCCACCGACGCATATATATCGATGCTATTATGGACGATTGTCAGTCATATCATAAGGAATCTTTAAGCACCGATTCTTAACACTGTAAAGGGCCCAGCTAAGTAGTTTAAATCTAGTTTAAATCTTGATTAGGATCATCAGTGAATGACCTTATTGATGTGTTGATGTTCCGATTTTGCTGTGATTATCCGTAACTCTTCTTTAAATTAATACCACTTCAACTTAAATTACTGGTTCGGTATACGAAATGCTCATGGTATCTACCTCAGCAGGATGAAGCCTCACAACCTAATTTATCAATCACCATAAGCCTAGCGTGATATGCCTTCTCCCTTATCAATTCATGCTGACTATCAAGCACACCCATTCAACTGAGAAAATATACAAATCTTAGACAAACGAGACATAAAAAATACCAGGCGATTTCCAGAGTTTAAGTACTCAGATGAATCACTGCTTAACAGACATAATCCTAGAGGTCAAATTTATCAACTAATAAAGAATAAATCACATGACGTAAAAGTCAAATTCAAAGTTATGAAAACGTGATCGACATCAGCAAAAACTAATAATCAATTGGAACAAATGTCGTCCAGACACAATACAACTACATCAATTCTTGGGGAATTCATAAAGGCCTCACTTCTTATTGTAATCTGACCTCAAAATGTTCTTTAGACAGACAGTAAAAGTTTCTCAAACAATACCCAGGAAATAAAAATACATCAAACCTAACCTCATTATGATTCGTTATACTGCACCTCTTAGTTAATGTAGCCGATAACTCCACAATTGTTTGGAGAGTAAAAATAAGTATACGGTCTGGCCGTCGCGTTATATGTCCCGAAATGTAAGAAACTGGATCGTGGCATGATTTGAACTATCACCCTTCAAATCAATAATTTAACAGTATACTAGGTGAATTTTGTAGGCATCAAGGATATTATTTATGATATACCCACATCGACATGTATGTGGTAGGCATGAAATATTTTGATATGTGTGATTAGCTAAATTAAATACTTTCATGGGTGATTAGGGGATAAGTTGGGAAAAAACTCATCATTAATTGGTCACTGTGCAGCATATGTAAGTTATGGGTCCAGTAAAAGAATAAAATCACTGACTAATCATTGCTGACAAGTCTTAAAACTACAATAACACATCCATTCAGTGTTTGTTGAATTTTCAGTTGCTTTTGCTTTCCTGATGTCAACAGTTCCTAGCCAAATGACTGAATGACTGATGTCGTTTCGACGCAAAACTTTTAAGAGTAGTAATGACAAAGTTTCTAACTAGTATATATATATATATATATATATAATGCGCTCGTCCATGTCAAGTAAGATAGTATGTGTCACATCATCCTGAAGAGTGTAAAAGATGCACTGAATGCAGAAATCCACCCCATCGAAATAAGCTGCATTTACGAAAGGCAAATTATGTGACGAACAAACTGCAACTCTGCAGATCATCTTCATGGAACAAAGCATAGAATGGAAGTCAATCCTCTCTCTACCTCAACTTCATCCACTTCCAAAGGCCATTGACAGATAGCGTTGATATTGAAGTAGCTTGGAAACTACTTCTATACTATAGCGTGAAGTGTCCAAAAATTTTCATCAGCCTCATTCAACACCTGCCTACGTGTCATGTGATTCACAATGGAAGACTCACACAGGGAAGCCTTTAATGTGAATACAGGAGCAAGAGAAACTGGACCTGCCTGCCACCTATCACCGATGATATTCCTAATTGTAATAGACTGGACCATTCGTCAGACTGTGTATTGGGAGTGAAAAGACAGGAATACGTTGGACCACCGAAAAGAGGAGTCTAGAAGATTTGTGTTTGATGTCACACAAACTCGGAGACCTGAAGGCGAAAACTAACAGACTGCCTGAAGCATCAGGCAGTGCAGACAAGACAAGATTTCAGGGGAACATAAGAAAGACAGATGTATTGAAGATACCCACGCACCACCGATAAAAATATCCAGAACCGATCATCGTCGATGGGAGAGATTTGGCAGAGTTCACTTCCTTCACTTATCTAGGAAGCACGGTTTCAACCACAGACGGACAGCACAGATGAAGATATCAAAACTAACCAGTTAGAATCGGAAAGACAACATACGCCTTCATCAACCTGGAACCAGTTTGGAGATCTACTGCTGTCACTCAGCGGCATAAAGAACGTGACCTGGATTTTCAGCACCAATGTGAAGTTAGTCAGTTCTTTTATATGGGTCAAAAACTCGACGTGCGCATCACAAAAAGGATTTCCAACAGGTTACAAGCTTTTATTAACAGCTGCCCACTTCACTGGGTGGATACTGAAGATCAAATGGCTAGTCAGTCAGAAAGAATTAGCAACAGGAAATTCTCTCAATAAACCCACCAAGAACCGACTGCTCAACAAATATGTAGGAGAAAGTGGAAATGGATAAGGCATACGTTGAGGAGGTCGTCGAATGGCATCACACTCAATCCAGGTCATCGCTCGAATCGAATCCGAATGGAAACTGCGACGAGTGTGTGGTCAGTATGAGAGTAACATGAAGGAGATCGTGTGGTGATGAGGAGGATATGAGAGATTATGGGCAATCGTGGAGCTAGCTAGCTGAAGATGATGGCAGAAGATCGGAAAAAGTGGAGATATGTTGTTGAAGCCTTATGTTCTACTTATAACCCAAAGGAATAATAATTATATAAAGAGATGTTCATTGGCATAAAAACATCAGATAGCAGGGAGATAAATTTGACGTCAGAGAAAGCAAATAATTCAGCTTTGTAGAGTTGCATGGGAGACGTGAAAGGAACACAAAGAAACGCAATTGGAAAGAGAGAAATAGCACAAAACCGAAGATCTGTGAAAATGGTGATTTTCAGATAAGGTGTGCATAATTTCCCTATAGAGGGATACTTAATTTTAAATAAACATTCCTTTACCAAGTCTGCGGTCTTCTCCCCTTACAGAAGTTTCCATAAAAGTGTAGTAGGTCAAGTCACCATGCTCTGTGTATCACACAAAGTTAGACAAACAAGAAGGTAAACATAGATTCAAAGAACTGTTATAAGAAATGTGAGAGAGAAACGTGACAGTCTAGCGGATATGAGAGATCACACAAAGCGAATTCATCTATCCTAATGAGAACGACTTGGAGACATATCGTCAATAATCTCAAGTTGTTGGTTCATAGCATCTTGAAAACACCATCGGGAGAAATTTCACTTCCTTGTCTTGCTGAAACACTTCATTGAATGATTCCAGGTTTTGGTTTGACCATCCTGAACCCCTCTCCAAACTGATCCTATATTTCATACATTTATTCCCCTTAATGAATTTGAACAAAGCAAGAACTACAGTTTTAGCAGAATAAAATGGTACCATCTTTTATTTCGTTGCCTTCTCGTCAGCTGCTTACATGGCAAAGACATTATTAAATATATCTACAACAACAATTTTAACATACCTGCACAGAATTAAGTTTAAACAAACATCAATCGATCAATATACTCATACACTAAAAATATATACATATATAAATATGCAATATTAACCACTATTCCGAACAATAATAATCAAACACAATGGAAACTTTTAGCATTTCACATTCGGAGGAAAGAGAGGTGAAATTATCCAGTTACCAGGGCAAAGAAAGACTGATAACCGCTTCTTTCTGGACACATAAATCAGGTTTCAAGCGCTTGATGGAAATGGCTTCAGCAAACTTAAGGAGAATTGCGCTATTTTGCTTATTGATAATTTTGAACGACTTTTCAACGTCCACCTCATGACCCATGTCGAGAAGATGCCTGGTGATGGCACTGTTTAAAGCATTTGTTCCCTATATTAGCTAACATTGTTTGTTGAGGAAGCTGATGTCTGTGAGTGAGCAACACACATCTTAGCCATTTCTATCGATTCATCTTCACAACGTCATCAATAGACTTCTACTTCTCACCTGCCTAACCTCAATATTACTCGCCATATTGTACCACTAACACGCGAGAGAGAGAGAGAGATGGCAAACATTTGTGGTCAAAGACAGAAAGCCTTTTTGTATCTCAGACTTTTAATGGAAATGTTTCACAGACATAAAGGAGGACAGAGAGAACCGTCGAGCAGTAGACGAGCTCTCTGATCGGTAGCTGGATATTACATCTAGAAGAATGCCTCTAAAGATTGAATATCGATTTACAGCGCACCATGATTGCGTCTCACCTAGTTTATTGACCACACAACAAAATTGATTGGTGGTAGTAGGTTCTTTGTTGTTTTAATTTTAGTATCACTACATGAGTAATTTCAAAGTCATTTATCACCTCATCTTATTTCACATGGATAAACTACCACGGATTGATACCAGTTGAAGGACCGTTGAAAACGAGTACAGAATACTGGATGGTGGTTCCATCCCAGTTTGGGACGCTTCATCAGTGTGCACGTACTGATTTTCAAACCCAGGA